TAATCCGAGCTGTGTTTGTTATTGTAAACTTTTACCATTAATACAAAAACAATGCAACGGAATTAGTCACTCCAAGCCGCCCGCAACTCGAAAATATAGTGTTACACGCAGTTCTCACTATATCCGTCTCGCCAGTGCCGTACGCCTGATCGAATTTTCGTGACGCGTTTTTGAGTCGCAAAATCGAATTTACTTACCGATCCAAAAGGGGTTTCACTTTGTACGCCTGTTGGTCGAATTTTCGTGACACTATTTCGTGACGTTTTTTCGTGTCGCACAATCGAACTTACTACCGTGCCAGAAGAAGAACCGTCTCGCCAACGCCGTACGCCTATTGGTCGAATTTTCGTTACACTTTCCGTGTCGCACAATCGAACTTACTACCGTACCAAAGAAGTTTAATTTTGTACGCCTATTGGTCGAATTTTCGTTACACTTTCGAACTTACTACCGTGCCAGAAGAAGAACCGTCTCGCCAACGCCGTACGCCTATTGGTCAAATTTTTGTTACACTTTTCGTGTCGCACTTACTACCGTACTAAAGAAATTTCATTTCGTACGCCTATTGGTCGAATTTTTGTTACACTTTTCGTGTCGCATAATCGAACTTACTACCGTGCCAGAAGAAGAACCGTCTCGCCAATGCCGTACGCCTATTGGCCAAATTTTTGTTACACTTTTCGTGTCGCACAATCGAACTTACTACCGTACCAAAGAAGTTTCACTTCCGTTACACTTTTTCGTGTCGCAAATCGAACTCACTACCGTGCCTAAAGAAGTTTCACTTCAAAAATTTTATTATTTACAATCAAGTGCGAGAAATTGGAAGCCCACACCGTCGACTGTCGGCAGATGAACGACTGCGCGATCAAGTTACCGAGTGATAACGACAAGTGGTTGACCTTTAAAAATTACAACAGGAAGGAACGAGTTTCCGAAAACGTACACGTATCAACATCATCGCGTATTTAGCACAGGGTACTACATGCGTTGCTCGTACGACAACTCGTTATCAATGTATCGGTTTTGTCGCAATAAGGATTGCGTTGCGTGGTTCGCTGAGGAGCTAAGACTAATTAGCTCATAATGTAAAGACTATTTTGTCCGCTAATGTACCCATGGCGAATTTCACGCGAGACGAGTGGGAAAAGTTTAACAGCGCAACGCACTGTCACGTGTGCGAAAAATCGTTTGAGCCGGACAATGTGCGAGTACGCGATCATTGTCATCTGACCGGTCAATACAGAGATCCCGCGCATTCAAATTGCAACTTAAATTACAAAGATTCGCATTGCATTCCCATAGTTTTCCACAATTTATCGGGCTACGACGCGCATTTTATTATAACGGAAATACCTATGGTGTACAAAGGACGTGTAGAACTGCTTCCAATCACAAAAGAAAAATACATTTCGTTTACAAAAAATGTCAAAAGCACCGAAGAGATAAAGATAAGAAAACTTGCGTCAAATTGCGATTTATTGATTCATACAAGTTTCTCACCGATAGTCTTGACAAATTGGCATCTTATCTCAACAAAGATAACCTGCGAATATTACAACGCAAATTTTGTAAATTATCCGCAGAAAATTTTGATTTACTGACACGAAAAGTATTTCCGTACGAGTACATTGACTGTGTCGAAAAGTTGGAGGACTCATGCTTGCCACCGCGCGACTCCTTTTACAGTTCATTGACAGGTGACACCGTATCCGAGAGCGATTACGCGCACGCCGTCAACGTCTGACAGCGTATCTCCATTCGAACGCTCGGTAACTACAGCGTATATCTCAAAACCTGTCTTGCTGTTAGCCGATATCTTTGAAAATTTTTGCGATAGCTGCGTCGAGAGCTATGGACACAATACACGCAACTCTCGGTCGGCACCTTTGATGTTAGTGTTGGCCAAAATGAAGTGCGCATGCGCGAAATAAAGCAGTAGTCTGTCTCACTTCTCTCTTTGTCATCTCTTTCTTTCCTATTCGTTAGATATTGAGGTTAGTTTAACGCAGTTGGCGCGAGATACAACCGTGTCTGTTAGTTTCAATAAAAATTATGCAGAATTATTGTTAACGATGTATGTTAACAATGCGCGCGTAAAAAAATAAAAAAAATTAAAATATTAAAAAATATTACATAAATAATAGATGAATTGTTAATGATGCAAAATAATGATATATAAATACTAATATATGAAATATTATACTAATAATAATAGTATGTTATATATAAATATATATATTGTTAGAAATACGGAAATGTCGGTAACTTTTAGATATGGCTACAGCCATCTATTGTATCAATAATATACTCTTGCGATTCCATGAATGAATACTAGATGGCAGGTCGTTTCCGCCTAGTAACTATTGCAAGCGGACGCGCGAGCAACGCGACGCACCGAGTTCCGCTCACGCTAGCATCACGTGACAAAAAGGCGAGTGGAGGGGATGCGCAAGCACGAACGTGCAGAGAGACGATCCCGGCCATTCTCGACTATTCGGTCGAAAGTGAAACAGTTCGAGTCACGTACCGGGCATTCTGCCACGATAATCCTTTATCGGGAACATGTTCAAGTTCCGTTTAATACTTATCGCTTTTGTCGTATTAATTACTCATGGTGGATTATTGCTTTTGTCGTTGCTAGTGTCGTATTCAACGCTCGTGTTATATTAATAGCTCATGTTGTAAGATATTTCGTTGCCGTGAATTTATACACGAGTCCGTAATACTCAGTCATTATTTGAATCACGAATAACGTTATCGAACACGTCAAAGGAAGAGAGAAGGACGACATATATTCGGGGTTCAGCCGAACCTTTACTTGATAATGGACATTCGTTCGAAGTTTGCAATAACGAGAGCGGCCATAATTGATTTCGTTCCTCTCATGAAACGAGACGGAATAGCAGCCATTATCCTTAATATCTAACTCGCATACGGCGAATGAGTTTCCCACTCTCAGTGGATGATTTTCCGTCTAAATAAATAGCGGATTATCTATAAAGAATTGGTGGATGCTGCAAATTCCACGATAAAGTTGTGACGTGGCCCCTTGGGCCCGTCACATGAGCCTGTGGCTCGTGCGGAGCTCCGGACTCCATCCTCGCGATGGGGTGGACCAATTTATGTTGCGCGGGCATTTCTGGCCGTTTAGTGACATTTTCAGGAGGAAGCGGCCGTACGGCCCTAGTTTCGGCAAACTCGCGCCACCCGACGGGGCGGAAACGCACCGCCGAACGAGGCGCCGAGGACCGAAGGCGCGAAAGGGATCGTCACTGTGGGGCTGATAGCGAGCGAGCGTGGACGTCCGGCGAGGACGAATAGCGAGCGAGAGCAGATGTCCGGCGAGGACTTGCGAGCGAGAGCGGCGGTCCGGCGAGGACCCAGGGCGAATTGTGAGCGAGGGTGGCGGCCCTACAAGCCCTGGTGAGGCCAAAGGACTGAGGATTGGCGAGACGTGAGCGGCCGGCAATACCGACGAGGTAACAAGTGGCAGCGAAGGCGGAGAGTCGCGTAACGAGTAATTGTGAGAGAGGCGCGTATGATCCGATGGTGGTCTACGCGTCCTTGCCGTGAATCCTTCGGGATTGTTGTCGTGGATCCTTCGGGATTTTTGTGGGCTAAAAGTCGGGTCTGACATACCCCGCCCGTCGAAACGTGGGACTTTTTTCCTTCTCGACTCAACCGTCTTATAAGTACGTTCGTTTCGCGGATCGCGGTCACCTTTCTTCGATCTTGTTTTTTTCTCGGTCCGAAGGTCGTTCCGATCCTTCCCCGCGTATCGCGGATGACGCGATCGCGGCAATTTCGGGGTAAGCGTGGTCGCGCGGAGATAGGTATACAGATCTGGGAAAAAAAAGGAAAAAGAAAGAGAGCGCACACAGATGAGATACGTAGTTTATTTATTTAGAAAAAATACACGCGCGTCGACGCGCGTTTACATTAATTCGCGCGTATGAATATATATATTTGTAGACGCGCTTTGCGACATTATTATTAGGATCGGAAACAGAGCGCGGCGATCTCGCAGTCGACGATGTTGTCAGGATCGAAGAAATCACTCTTCAGTATCGCAGTTTGAGCCGAGGTACCCGTCTTGATCGCGACTATCTCCCGATAGCGCGAATACTTCGCGTTGATCTCCTCGGTCGCCGCGCTCAGCGCCGAGACGACGCGATCGACGCAAAATTGAAGATCGTACAGCGTGAGCAGGGTTTTGAGCACTATCGCCACGCGAGCCAAGTTGGGTAGCTCCATACGTAGGATCGGCGTGTTGTTGATCACTCCGAATCGCAGCGTCATCCCTTCGATCGACATCGGCGAAGGGGGGGGGGCGAGTTCCGTCGGAGAGACCGTGTTCCATGCACGACAATATGTCGCGTTTGCGCTCGACCAGTCCTTTCCACATGTCGAGCGTCAGGGAGACCTCCCTGCCTTGTTTGTCTCCCAGGGCAATATCTACGTACGAAGGCGTGGTGTTTGTGCTGTACCATGGTGACTTAATCGTGATACCTATGGCTATGTACTTGTAGCCAGTCGTCGTCAGCAGATAACGCGTCGTCAGAACGCGCACCGCGGGCACCTCGACGGGCATGTCGGTGGGAGGGCGAGAGCTGGAACGCGACTCCTGGCGATGACGACGATAATGACGATCGTCTTTGACGGGCGCGTCGGTGGGAGGATGAGAGCTGTGACGCGACTCCTGACGATGACGATGATAATGACGATCGTCCATCAAACTGATCCTTCGCATTTTACCGCTGTCGTTCGCCTCCGAATCCGTCGTCTCCGGAGGGGAAATACCCTTCGGCGCGGGTCGATCGGCCAACGTCGAGAACATTTCGCACGCGCTGCAGTAACCGTTCGTTTCTGATTTTTTTCCGACGCGTCGTATTCGGCCGACGATGCGACACTGATGCCTTGGGGGGATACATCGGTATAAGTAGGAAAGATCTTACTTATGTCGCGCGTGGCGTGGTGTGGGAAATTTGCGCGGTCCTCTATTTCCTTCGGCGTATGCGGAGATCGGAGAGCCGAACGCCGTTGTCGTCATCGTCCGAATAATCGCTCGCCGCTGACGTTAATGAGTTATCGTTGAGGCGTACGATTCGATCGAGGAAATCGCGCAACTGTTGCAGCAGTTCGGCCTTAGGGCAGACGATATTTAGTATCCGCAGATCGAATTTACCGGCCGATGAGACGGTCCTCGTAAATTCGTTGAATTTGTAGAACTGCGTCCGAGTGGTGAAGTACAGATTGCCGTCGACGTAGCGGAAGATCAACGTCACGCCGGTCGGTATTCCGGGAAACGTCGCCTCGAGGGGCGTACACTTGGCGACTTTCTTGCTCTCGTGACATTCGTCTATCTCGCCCACCGAGTTACCGTTGAACACCGAAGGAACGTCCTCTGTGGGTGTTCACCGCTCCGTTGATCAACGTGTTTTCGGGAGTTCTTGCAAGGTCTTCTATCCTGGCCGCAGACTAAATTCCGGATATTGAACCAAGTATACCAAATTATCTACGAACACCACGAGATTGCCGGACAGGGATTGATAGGCGGCGGTCACGCGCGTGTAATTGTCGTGAAGAAAGCTCATGTGATTCGAAAGGGCTAAAGGTCCGTTGTACGTCCTACCGTCCAGATCGATCGACCAAACGTAACACTTGTACGAGATGTACATTCGATTTTCCAAAATCAATATCCCGTTCACGCGATCGAGACCGCACAGGTCCGGCGATGGCGGCGGCGGCGGCGCCGGCGCCGGCGTCTGACGCGGGAGCTCGTTCGTACTTTTTTCACCGTACGTTGAATGTCGGCGATGTCGTTTTGGTCGAGCTTTACCGGATACTGCTGGTCCGGCTGTATCGCAAACATCACCGATGTTTTGCGCCTATTGTGCACCAATCCGAGAGAGTGGCCGATCTCATGCGTCAGCGTGTAATGCAGGGAGAACCTATCCGCGGGATGTTTATTGATGTAAATGTGCCACGGCTCGTCCCCGTCGACGTGCACTTCGGAGACGAACCCCGCTTGGTCCGTCGGGAGAGACGCGTGGGCGAGCACGTTGCCGGGACCGTCGAATTTGTCCGAGCAAATTGCTCCGTTTACCTTGGTATTCGTGTTATAGTGACGTAGGCGTCTCCAAGGTATTATAATGTCGGCATTTGTTTCGGAGCGTTCGAACGTCAATGCCGAATGCTGCGACCACAGGTCGAACGCGGCCCGCGCCGTGCTCAGCTTGGTCTCGTCGGCTAAGTGAAAATTCCACGTCAGGTGCGTCTTCGGCCATTTGGATAGGCTCGCTTTCGTTTCGTGCTTCAGGATATCTCGGAAACCGCATCGCGGTTTACTCATCAATTGCAGCGTTTCGTTGTTGGGCGTTCCATCGCCAAGTAAATCGTAGTAATTCTGAAAATCCTTAAAGGCTTTGCGAAGAACGTCGTTTCGTCTCTGAGCCGGAACCGCGTCTACGTCTTTAGACAGATATCCGTATTTCTGCAGGTAATCGAACGTGAGCGCGTAATTTTCGTCCATAATTGTGGGATTGATGCACCTCGCGGCGATAAAACACCCGGATAACGCGATTACGCGCGCGAGCCACATCGTCGAGAGCGAAAGAGACGGCGGAACTGCAATGACGGCGCGTTGCGGTTTGAGCGCGATTTCGACGAGCGTTCCGGATGCGAACGTTTACGCGAGAACGCTTGTTAGCGATAACGCGGATAGGTGGCGGCGAGGGTCTCGGGCGGGAAAAAATGCGTCGAAGATTCCGGCGGATGAGTCGGTGTTTCAAAAAAGCAGGGAATTTGAGGAAGGAAGTCGAAGGCTTAGTAAAGAATGAATCTTGTGCAATTTAATGTGAAAGTGAATAGAGCTTTATTGCATCTACAGGTCATCTACATTGTCGCGTTAATTTTAGTTCTAGATTATGCCCGTGCACGCAGGCACAGGGCTTCTCAATAAATGCTTAGAACAAGAGCTTTAATTTAGCTGCTTGTCTAGCGTTGAGTGGCCGACCAGGAAGGTCTTCGTCGTAGAAGACCTCCTGATTGTTGTTGGGATCAGCCACTTTTCCCGGAGTTGTAGGGGCCCGATCGAGGGGTAACTCCGGGATAACTGGGGAGGGCAGGGCCGGGGCGAGGTCTTCTTGTCCTTGCTCCTCTTCCTTTTCTTCGGCTCGGTCTGCGTGCCGACCGTTTTCCACGCTCCTTGTGGCAACGGTCTCTGGGCCCGAGGGTCACCCGGAGCTAGGCTCAGCCCTGATGGACGGGTGAGTCTTCGGTGTGACTCGGGGAGGCTCAATGGAGTGAGCTGCCACTTCGGCTCAAGTGGAGGCGCAGGTTGCCTTGCCACCTGTGGTTTCCTTGTGATGGAGGGCCTCCTGGCTCGCCTCCTTGTTTTTTGGCGTGGTCGTCCTTCCCTGAGGCGTTTTGCGGATGCGCCCTTAGGCTGGATCACGACGGAGCGCACTCGGTAAGCTCGACGGGTGGACCGGGCGGAATCTACCGGGTGTTGACGGAGGTCAACTTTCCTCCTTCTATGCTCCAGGATGGAGCTGGGTAAAGAATTTGGTCTCGATCGCTTTTTCCTCGACACCCGGCTTGTGTAATGTCCGGGGAAGTACTCAATGCGAAAGAATATTTCCTTGTGGGCTGGCTTGCCCTTATATTCCTTTATATTGATATTTTGAACTCGCGAAAGTCAGCCGCTCCGCGGCGACATGTATTACCCGCTCTCGCGGCGCGGGATGTTGTGCTTGGCGGGCGAGGTAGCGCAAACGGGTTGCCGCGCTCGCAGGCGCGCCGTTCGGACCGTGGATCCGAACAGTCGGCTTGATAAAAAATGCATTATTTTCCTCGATGCATTTTTCCTCAACGCAAAAAAATGCTATTCTTAGTATATTTTTTTACCGCAACGTCCTTTTTTTATCATATATAAGAACTCGAGACTAGACTTGGGTGTAGTCTATGCGCACTCTTCGAGCGAACTTTTGAGTAAATTAAACTTAATAAGACAATGGAGAAACTTAATGACTTAAAGAGTGTGTGTGATTTATTACAAATTCACACCACAGCCCTGACGAGGGAGGTGGAAGATTATTGTAACATGGTGCGGCAGTTACAGCAGCGTGTGAGAAGTATAACAGAAAAGGTGCCCCTGTCTGCAACTCACTGTTCGCGTGGACGCCGTAATGCTGGAAAGAACGTAAGTATCACTTTCAAATGCGAAATTATTTCTTATAATATAATTAAATAACAAATTTTATATATTTATATATATTTATTTATATATGTTTATTTATATTTATTATTTACATTTATTTATATTTATTTTTATTTATTAATTATATTTATATTTATTTGAATTTATTTTTATTAATTGTATTTGTTTTTTGTGCAGGGCCATCATTACTTCCTTAGCCAAAAAGTCTCGTAACCAAATCAGATTATTCGTTACGAAACTTCGTGGGATGCGTAGGGACATCGCGCGACTGGACTCGAACGAGGAGGCAGATCGTCGCGAGAGAGATAACGATGACGACGAGGGGGATCGTCCGAACCCGAACAGTCAAGAGGGAGTAATAACCATCAATGACGACGTCCCCGTATGTTGGTCCTCCCAGAAGTGAAAAAGTGTGAAATACAATATATTTTTAAAAAATTTTATTAAATATGAAAAATGTAATAAATATGTATATCAAATATAATTAATCAAATATAATAAATGTATATATATGAAAAATATATTATAAAAAAAATAATCTTCATTCCACGAAAATTTATTATAAAGATCATCCAAATATCTTTAATATTTTATAAGTAAAACATTATGTTATTACAAAAGAAAATGTAGAAATGAAGATTTTCGAATACTTTAAATAGTATTCTTTAAATTATTGCACTCTTTTAAGATAAATATTTTTGTGAAAATTGAAAACCACAATAGAACCGCTTTCTATAAGGTCGGCGATGCAAATTAATTAGTTGAGTTTAAGCGATAACATCGTTAAAAAAACTAAAATTAACAAGTTTAGATACTGCTCGTCTTCACGAAATAGTGTTTTAAAATGTTGCTTTTTCCCATTTACACGACGCGCGTTTAAACGCAATTATCGTAATAGCGAGCTTCTCTCTTTCAGCAATATGTATTGCGCAAATTTTAAATTGCGTTATTGATATCGCGTTTCCTTTACCGCGTTTCCTTTACCGCTCCCTATACCTCACTCAATCTGACGCTTGGCGTTATCGCTCACTCGCGTTCCTATCCAAGCCTCGCGCTGGAGCGTCTCGGCGTTCCCGTTCGTTTCCTTATCGCGCTATCGCCCCCCCCGTCTCGCGCTCTCGCTTTCGCTCGCCGTTTCTCTGTTTATCGCGTTAAGAGGTATCGCGTTCCCGCAACCGGCCATTATTACGTACTCGGCATTATCGCGCTCCCGCGACCGGCCATTTTCGCGCACTCGGTAGCTTATATCTATATATATAAAAATGAATGTATGTATGTATGTATGTTTGTATGTATGTATGTATGTCCTTTATACACTCTTGAACTATTCGAACGAATTTTTACCAAAAGTATATAAAATAGGGGTAGAATTTTTTGGGGAGTGTTATAGAGTGTATAATTTTTTGTTATCAATCTTTTTGGGAACTGGTATTCGACATTTTTTCATTTTTTCGGGAAATAATTGACCGAATTTCAAAGAAATATATATGAAACAGGAGTAGAATT